ATTTCGGAATTTAAAATTCTTAAGAAAAGTTGTAAGTTAAAATGTTAATACTTATTGCTCTTTGTGTTTTGGATTTTATTTTTAGCAAATTTATTTTTTTGTGTTTTTCCCTTGAAAAGGTTCACTTGTCTACAGTCATTTTATGAACCTCATTTTAATAAAAGATTAATAATATTTAACTCGATTCAACAATGGAGCTTACAACTGATGAGTTTTATTTCTTTTACTTGCAAAAATAGCAAATTAACAGTTATCAACACAAAACTTGGCCTCATGTTTTGTTTTGCCGTAGGTACTGTTATGAGTCATACATAACTCGTTAGCTATAGTTATTGTTTACAAGCTATCTAACTGTTACGTTGAAGTGGGCTAACCTATTAGCATCTATTAGTTTACTAGCAAATGTATGCAGTAAAACAAGTGTAGTGTTTACACAGTTATTCACATTTCTTTATGAATGGTTCTTTGTGGTATCGTCATTTCAGTAACACATTTCTTTAGTAAGTTTCTTAGGATTAATCAGTTTGTATAACAGCCTCTAATAGCTGTTCTTTTATTTAATTTAAGTCAAAACTTATGTCTAATTACCACCCCGGCCTGTGATTTCGGCTCAAGTGCAAGTGTATGGTGCAACCGCGTCCTGTGTACCCGACTCGGATCGGGAGTTAAAACGGCCAACTCGATTCCAACTCCTGTTTCTTAGTCTCTAATGTCTCATTTGGGGCACTGGTCTTTAGATGATTCTTCTCCCTCAAAAAAGTGCCTATTCAACTGTTGCAAATGTCATAAGTGGATAGAGCATTCTGTCTTATCAGCAAATTTTTCAGATCTTTTAATAAAAAAAGCTGGTTACAAAACGACTTCCTATAAAAAAAAACTATTACTTATCTTCATATTGCGAGTTTCATACAAGATTACATGTTAGACTATCAATTTGTCCTATTTGCAAGAACTTCCTCCTATGATTGACGAGGAAAGTGAAACTGTTCCGATCGCAATTGTTATTGGTTGAGAGTTCCGCGCCTGCGCAGCCGCGGGTGCGCCGGAAGAGATCCCAACAGTGACACGGTACTAAGTTATATGAGTTTATTGACGGGTTACTGGTAGAGCCAGATACAGACTGTTGCCTTTGAAAGCAATTTCATTAACAATGCAAATAGTTAATAATTTTTCATCATCATAACATTACGTTTTTTATTTGTTTCTCAAGGGATTAAGTTGAGTTTTATAATTGTATAGGGTGTGTACCTCATCTCCAAGTCAGCGCGGGAAAGTACTAGTGGAGTCATTGCGTTGTTATATATTATGTAGAAAAATAGTTACAGTTCATTCTGCCCTTTTAATATAGATATGAGGCATGATTGGGTTGTTAGTCCATATACGTAATCCGGAATCAGGTAAACGAATATTTTATCGTTCTGTCAATCGGATGTCGTTGCGTAAGATTACATGGATGAACATCTACGGTTCGCTGACTATAGTTTCGATTTCTGTATCATGTGCACCGAAGTCGAGTATTGAAATTATGAAGCATACTATTCAAGTGATAAGGCACAATATCCCATGCTGCTGCCTTATATCAACTTTACTGTAACCACGTGACAATGGAAGGGGAAAAACTTTCTTCATTAGAAAATTATTCCTCGAAAATAAGTTTGCTATACAAATAAACATCATCTTCCTGCCCTTGTCCCGTTTTATTTGGGGTCGGCGCAATATGTTTTTTTCTTCCATTCTGTCCTGTCACTCGTCACGCTATCGCTAACTCCTCTGTCTTCCATATCACTTCTCACACAATCCATCCATATTTTCTTTGGTCTCCCCCTCCCTCTCCATCCATCCACATTTATACTCATGACTCTTTTTGTTACATGCTTTTCATCCCTCCTTTTCACATGGCCATACCAAGACAAACGGTTCCCTTTCAACTTTTCAGTCACTGGCGCCACTTTCAAACTTCCTCTAATATACTCATTTCTCACTTTATCCATTCTCGTCACACCACACATCCATCTCAGCCTTCTCATCTCTGCTACATGCAATCGCTTTTCATCCGTCTTTTTCAGAGCCCAACATTCTGACCCATACAGTAGGACAGGCCTTATCACTGACTTGTAGATTTTACCCTTCAACCTGAGGGGCATCCGTGGGTCGCAAGTTGTTCCAGTGACCTGTCGCCATTTCATCCATCCTGAGTTGATCCGATGTGCCACGTCTCGGTCTATCTCACCATTTCCTTGGATAAGCGAGCCAAGGTACCGAAAATCAGAACAGGTTGGTATGGGCGTTCCGGCGAGAGCTATGGGCAAAGAACTAGAGAGACCGCCAAAATCGCAGAACAAGTACTCTGTTTTAGTTCTGCTCAATTTTAGGCCAACACTCTCCAGTCTATGCCACCACACCTCCAATCTGCTCTGGACCTCTAGGGCACTCTCGGCAACCAGCACAATATCATCGGCAAACAGCATACACCAGGGAGCCTCTTCCTGAATGTCCGACGTCAGAGCGTCCATTATTATCAGGAAGAGGTAAGGGCTGAGAGCTGACCCTTGGTGTAAACCGACAGCCACATTGAACTTGCTAGTGGTGCCCGCTGCAGACCGGACTTGTGTACTGCAGCGACTATACATTGATCGGATCAACTGCACATACTTCCCAGGCACACCTTTCTCCTTAAGGGCCCACCATAATGTCGATACGATAGATAGACGATGCTATACAAATAAACACATATATTTTATCTAATTTGAAATTAATTTAGTTTTGACAATGTCTTCGTTGTACTCGTCATTACAACTGCTGTTATGAGAAGAAATAAGAATTGAGATTAGATTACGAGTATTGTCTAATCGTAATAACATCGCATCATTAGATCACCACAGCTATTATACAATAATACACCCACAATTATCAATTATACTTTTTGATACCTGCAATAGTCAAAATTAATACACCATTGTCAAAAGATTCACTGAAAACTAATCTTAGTTCTCTTCAAGAGCCATAACAGTAAGGAAGGAATAAGTTTTTTTTTTAATTAGTTACGTCACCCTTTTTATTGGGCGGTAAAGTCATCATATAGCTTTTCTCGCCTAGGATATGGTAAGAAGAAGTGTCCGACTCTTGCTGACTAAAAATGACCCCGTTCATGCCCCGGTCTCCTTTGAAATCATCATATTATTTACAGCTGAACATAGGCTTTCAGAGATTTTGGGATTGAAAAAGGTTGGGGCTAGAGAAAGCTGTATCCTCCACGTTTAAATGTTTGACTTGACTTTAAAAAATCACCAATATATTTTTTCTCAAAAAAAAAAAAAAATTAAACGGGGATTGCGAAAAAAAGATTTGCAACTTTTATGTCATAAGGATTAATAAGAATGAAGTCATAACTTCCTATACAAGTGTATAATTTATGTGACGGTGAAATTTCCATACAGATTGCATTGCATCGCGGATATTATCAACCCATTGTTATGACTACCTTCAGGGTATAAGCGAGATAAAATATTTCTTGGTAAATTAATAGTTGATAATTTTGTATGCTTCTTAAGGCCTCACAAGGTTACCCAGAGTATGAGCAATCCAGGCAGTCAAATTTTTGAAATTCGATTCCTTTCGCAATTCCAAGATTTTGTTATTGCGAAAGCATTCGAACAAATCCTTTATTACCATTTCCAATGAATACGAGGATCACAAATACGAAAGTACCTACATTTTTTTTGCTACACTTTCATTATCTAATGGAATGATTAGATTATCTGATGGAATAAGGTGAATATACTACAACTACCTAGTACATACATAGTATGCACACTCTAATTTTGGCACTCCTATGCCTATTAGGATGAAGCAAAGCAATCAAAGTGGATGGCACAGTGCAATGGAACGCCAAAAATTTCTTGTACTTCTTTTAGATTTATCAATCTCTTGGAGAATGCGCATTGACTGAGGTTAGGTACCTTTAATTTGAATTAAATAGATCTTACAACATTTTTAAAGATCTCAGTCGATCACCTGAATTTGAAAGGATAAAATTTTAATTAAAAAATGAGTTGTTAGATACAAGAAGTTCGCGTGTCTGATACGAATCTAACATATAGGAAACACTGCACTACGTATTATCTATCGTGTAGAGAAAGTAATCTCACCATGTATGTAACTAAATACCTACTCTTCATGGTATTCTAGTTAATTACTAAATTGTTAATACTAACCTAGTAACTACACGCTACGTATTGGAGCTCTTATAGCAGTAATTAGGGTAATATTGATAGGAGTATAATGAAGGCATACCTTCCTACTGCTGGCGTAAAAGTAAGTACCTACAGAGTACCTCTAATGTAGACTCAGCTGCAGAGAAAAGGATCAGCATCAGATCCTGCAGATAGCTGCATACATACCTACTTGTACTTCAGGGGGGGGGCCCTTTCTCTGCAGCTGACTGTACAAATCCAGAGCCAGACGATGCCACCTTCAATCTTAAGTAACACTGAGCCATCAGAATCGATGGTGCCTATTCCCTTTTTTGTTGACGACAGCCAATCATCATATGACTTTTCTCGACCAGTGTTTTGCAAGAGGGAAAGCCAAACTCTTAAAGACGACAAAAAACCGGAAAAACCACGGGGGCATTCCCTTTCCTTTACCTTATTGCACTTACCTGCGACCTCGGCTAATGTGCCAGAGAAATGTCCTATCACTTAGACTTAATTAAATGTTGTCCATTTTCTCTTCTTTAAGTGATAAATCGGCAAACGAAGCATGATTACCTGATGGAAAGCAATCAGCGCCGTCGACACCCACAAAAGCGGAGGAGTTACGAGTGCGTTACCTTTTGGGGATTTCGACATTTTGGGATTGGGGGAGGGGAAGGATTAGCCCTCGGGTAAAATTTAAAAATAGTGTGAATATAAGAACCGATTTCCCATTCTATATAATTAAAATTCGTTCTTATTTTGGTTCTAAGAATAATATTCTTATGTCTTTTGTTTTTTTTTCAGAGAACGCACAGTGCGATGTTCATCAGTGCTGATCGGAGCGCTGGGCATCTCTTTGATAGCTTTGGCGATATACACAGCGGTGCTGGTGCTCACTGAGTACCGGAGTCCGAGGCCCTGTCTCAGTGAACAGTGCGTTGGAACTGGTAAGTTGAAGTCATAATATATTAATTTAATTGATCCTCATACTTTTGGAATGAAAATAATTAATGGAGCCACGGTCTATACTGGATAAATTCATTTCCCGAAAGTCGTTGTAATTCCGTACCGAAGTCGGCATCTTGAATATCTCTCTCATTCAAAATGTATGGTGTTAACCATTCATATCCGAAGGTACAAAATACAAAATCAATGTGAAGGACGAATGCAACCTGTATCTACTGACCAGTGACCACCATTCACAAATATTTTATCTCAGTAAATTTCAATTCACGTGCCACGTTAGGGTAGGTAAGTACCTAATTACCTATGTGTTACGTCTTGTTACTCTGCGCTTTATGCCATAAGTCAAGATATTTACCTTATAAGCAACTAATTAAATCTACGCGTGCGCTAATTATGCTGAATACTTAACAACAAACAAACAAACCGCACAAACATCCCGCCATGATTAATTACAAAAAAATAAGTCAGATGTAAGTAAACACATTACTATGCTATGCTATGGTAAAATGTCGGAGATTACCACATTATTTTACCATAGATTTTCCATAACATTAGTCGAGACACGTGCACTACGATAATATATAGCACTTATGTAAGTTAATAGTTTAATTACTCGAACAGCTAATTAACATATCATTATAATGATATCAACAGCAGAATGTTCTTCACGGAAGGATGCCTTCGTTTTTTTATATAGCCGTCACTCATAATTACTAGTCTGCATATTATTGCTATATTAAAATAATTAGGCGTCTCAGTAACGATGCGTCATTATTAGGTAGCAACATTTGCATATGTAAATGTTATAAACTGGTAGACTCATCCTTTAAGATTAGATTTGTATCGCATAGTAATTAGTTTTAACATGTCTTTGTGTGTAGAAATGTTTCAAGTCGTAGCAAAGATAATAGAGCTATTTAGTTCATACATACATAGGATATAGGTCTTAATAAGAGAAATCTTCTCACCATTAAACGTATGTTACATTGTTCTCAAAATCTTAATTAATATACCATGTATCAATTAACATGGGGTTGTTAATTATAATGAGCGATGAAATCGTTGTTGCTCTAAATGTTTTAAACGAATTATTTTTGTTTTGGACTGGATATTAAGGTAGGTAATTCTATGAAACTATTTTCTAGTACCTAACTACCTAATTTCAGCTATCTGCGTAACTTAGGATAATATGAGAAAAATACTAGTACTGCTTTAAAACTAGTTTATAGTTAATTAAATTACACAATAATTACTTAGCTGCTGTCGATACTGCCTCTTATGTAAAAACAAGTACCTAATGATCTATTTCTTTTATTCAAGTCGATAATTACAAATGAATCGTGCTCATTTCGCATATCTGGGTCTAGAACAGTTGCTCGTATTATACGTAGGACGTAGGTACTATATTTTTTATGAGATACCGACCGTTATAGGGGGTAATGGGGGAGAAACACAACTCTGTAGCTGCTTCACGCAAGTTTTCTGTGAGCCGGTCCATTCGCGAAAGCATTTCTTTACTGCGGGAATGCAACCCGTAAGCAGCTGCTTGGTAGTCGATCGATTAACTTCTATGCTACTACTTACATATAGGTACCATATAAGTATGTACTTAATAGCACGTGATCGAACGATATGTGATGGGTATCATCATTATTTGCATACATTAAGTTGTTAATTGTACTTACGCAATATTTTGTTTACATAACTTGTACTTAATAAATATACGCTAGTGATTAAATTGCTCTATTTTCAAAGAACCAGGCATTAGTCTGTCAGTAATATCTATAAATTGTCGCATATATTTTATAATAAAACGCATGTTATGATTTAACCCCATGTTACTCTTACATCACTTATTTTACAATCCACGTGTTAGGGATTACTGCGCCATTTTGACGAGAAAATTGTAACACAATCTGTTATACATAACATAACAACAAATAACAATTAATTCTTTTGAGTCACATCTAGTACATATACTTATTTTAAACTTAGACGCACTTGGTGTTGAACTTATTGGACGTAATAGCTACGCACGTGTCGGGGATGGCAAAAGATGCAAAATAATTATGAATTTTAAATTATTTTCTTGCATCAATAAAAACGATAGTCTTAGACGCCATCGCTTAGATTGTGTTTTGCTATCGTATCACAAGGATTATAAAATGTTTTTTTCTTTGTTTACTTCTAGTTTTAGTTTTAAAGTTTTCTTGTTGATCGTTATTGGCGTATTGCACAATGGATTTGTGCATACCGAAATTGATTCGAAACTGAGATCAGACAATGATATTATAAAAAGGTCCAAAACTATCGAGGAGACAGGTTGGTTCTTTAAGTTAAAACTTTTTGATTTATTCGTATACCATTGAATTTAAATTCATACTATGTTCTTGCTCCGCATGTTTGCTATCCATCATCTAGATTATAGCAATAATTATTCAAGTACTTAATTGCATTTACTGCATCATCTGTCGGTACTCGAGCGGCAGGCGCTATCGAGTTACATAATACCGTTGTTATTAAATATTGCGCATATTTATATGCATTCGAGGAGAAAGCTAGGCAGCTTCCTGATTACCCCTCTCTCCTCACGACATTGCAAAAATTAACTGCCCATATAAAATTGTTTTTCTATATTTAAACAATGCCGAAATTATTTAAATTATGTATTTATTTATTATAAGATAGGCTTACAGGTCATGTATACAAAGTGGTTTAAAGTATTGGTTATAGGCATTAGGTCATATACATTAGCCAACTGAATAAAATTATCAACTGATCTTAAGTCAATATCTTTATCCTTTGTATAGCTGTAGATTTTCCTCAATAGTTATATTTCGTTTTTATCGACAACCCAAATGGATTCCATGCATTTAAGTTAAGACTGTTTTTTATTTAAATCTTAAAATAAAAACAGTTATGTCACCTAAATTTCAAATGCTTCTTCCACAGCTTCACGGATCTTGCAAGCCTTGAACAAAGATGTGGATCCCTGTACTGATTTCTACGAGTTTGCGTGCGGAGGATGGATCAAACAGAACCCTGTACCAGACTGGGCCACTTCTTGGGACCAGCTGGCGAAGCTTCGAGAACAACTTGTCACCGATCTAAGAGATCTACTAGAAGCGAAGGACGATGAGGGCTTGCCACAGAGCGTGAAAAAAGCAAAGAGTCTTTATAGGACCTGTGTTAATACTGGTGAGTAGTTATGAAGATTGAAATATATTTTATTCATAATATTTTATTAATATGGTTATTTGTAGGACCAGTTTTAAGGACTTAGAACATTATCTAATGGAACATTTCATTTGCTTAAGAAATTGTTCTGAAACTCGCATGTCCTCAATATCAATCCTGACAGTCAGTTATAATAAACTATTTCTTTGCAAAATTACAGAAAGACTTGAAGATGAGGGCATCAAGCCGATTCAAAGGATTCTGCAGAAGTTGGGTCTTCCACCGCGGCCGCCGACTGAGATGACTGCTAACTTCACGTGGGAGACTGTGGCGGGGAGGGGCCGTAGGAACCTGGGGCTGAATGTACTGCTCAGTGTGCAGGTCGCTGAGGACGTTAGGAATACCAGCAGGAACCGCGTTGTGGTACGTATAATTTTGGTACATTGTCCATTCACTTTTAATATCTTGATACAAACAACCCTGACAATAAATAGCTTGAAATAGTCTGATGTACTTTGTCCTTTACTAATCCATTGATTGGTTTTGCTGGGAGGTACTATATTGCCAAAAAGCGTTTTTCAGATTCTAGATGCAGCCTTTAAGTTAGTTTTTTGTCGACAATGTCAACATAACCTGAATTGTAGTTCCAACTCCAAAGTGCCTCGTGATCCAAAGTGCCGTTTGATTGCAGATCGAGCAAGTATCGCCAGGATTCAGCGACCGCTACCTGCTGCAGCCGGAGCAGTTCTCCCACGAGTTGTCTCAGTACCACAAGTACATCAAATCCATGATCAGCATCGCAGACAACGAGACCGACGCTGAGCAATTTGCTGATGACATCGTAGACTTCAGCAAAAAATTGGCTAAGGTCAGTAGAAGTCATGATCTACCTATACTTAGGAGGATTTTACTTACCTTTAAGACGAAACAAATGTAAGGGTGTTAATGATATTAAGCTGTAGGAAGACATAATGTCCAGTTCAAAGTAAGAATTGGAACTAGGTGGTTGTAAGTCATTGATAGTCAATGCCTTACCCAGGGTGGAAAAAAAAACTCTGCACCTTCTAATTATTGTGTCGTGCTTCTCAGTTTCTTCATATTGATCTGATACTAGTGTACGTTCTTTAGATAATGACACCAGTGGAGGTGCGTCGCAGTGGTACTCATTTGTTCCATGAGGTCAGCGTGCAGCAACTGATCCAGGGCTCCAGCGGCGGGCCAGTTCAGTGGAAACAGGTAAAATAAGACAAAAAACTCAAATTACAAACCGCTTAGTTTTGTATACATTGTCAGTAGAAAAGTTTTGTAAAAAAAAAGTCAAAATTCGCCGAGGAAATGGAAGAATAGTATTCAAAAGCTCGCCAAATACATGAGCTTATAGTGCCAGATATTGTCGATTCACTTAATTTAAAAGCAGTAAAACTACGCCATCTTGATGTTGCCAACTTTTGACTTTGACTGCACGGTTGGTGCGGTGGCTGGGCAACTGGCTGCCGTGCAACGTGTCGCAGGTTCGATTCCCGCACGGAACAACTCTTTGTGTTCCAAAAATTGTAGTTCCGGGTCTGGGTGTCATGTGAAATTGTATGTTTGTAACCGCACCCACGACACAGGAGAAAATCCTAATGTGGGGCAACGTTTTTTAAGAAAAAAAAAGAATAAATAAAATAAATAATCATCAGTCTGTCCCTGTGGTTGGATGAAGAGTCTGAGGATATTATAATCATCCGGATCGTCCTCAATACTAAAAATACTATGAAAATCTTTATCATTTGTAGCATGACTGGGAGTTGTACTTGAAGCTAGTGTTTTCGAACACGAGCGTGGTGTTACACCCGCACCAGGACCGCGTCATCGTGATGGACCTCCCCTACCTGCAGAAACTGTCCGTACTGCTGGCTGACACCAAGCCTGTTATTGTTGGTGAGACCATTTTTATATGACTGCAAGAATAGTATTACTTTTTCTTTTCATTACGTACAACCAATTCCTCTGTCTGTGTGTGTATCTCTGCTAATGTGTACGTCCACAATAAATTCAAAAGTAACTAATCAGAATTTTATCTTGTGCTCGGCACTCGATTCATCCCAATTTTAAAAGACAGTTGGGCAAACGAGTCTGATTAAATAAGTTTGCTCATTTGTAAGCAAGCGACGCCCCCCATGGACTTTCGCAATACCAAAGAATTTCCAAGTGCGTTACTTGTGGCTTGTTAGGGATTTCAGATTTGGGAATTTCGGATTCGGGAACTTTACTCACATGGATAACCATAACGCAAGCATTGTTTCACCTCGGTATTCTGTGTAGCCAATACGGTCAAGCCGGGCTATTCACCTTGAAACTATCACTCACATTTAAGAATGCTTAATTTATCATAAACAGTTTGAGATTTTCTAGACCAAGAAGAGTGTAGTGCAGAAAGCTAACCAAATAGATATTGATGTATTCCCTGTTGCTCTGACTGGCAGAGCGGTTCCTATGGTGGAGCGTGTTCTCGACGGTGGCGCCGATGACGCTGGGCGCGTTCCGCGAGCTGGGCTTCGAGTTCTCGCGCGCCGTGTTCGGCCTGCAGCAGCGCACGCCGCGCTGGAAGAGCTGCACCGCCAACGTCAACGCCAACTTCGGGGTCGCGCTCAGCTACCTCTACGTTAAGAGGCACTTCGACTACGACAGTCGACAGAAGGTACGTGATGCGATTATAAAGTAATATTAACTTAAATAGAATTGTTTAAGTAAAATATTATAAATTGAAGATTTAGTTATACTGATGACCGACACGAACATATTTTTTCATTTGATTGTTAGTAATTGAAACCGCCTGAAATTCGATTCCCAGATCATGAAAAAAACTATTGGGTGTTTTAGAAGAATAGAATCATCCATTTGGCGAACAAAGTCCCTCATATATACATTTTTTAAATAATGTAACTGATATAATATAACTGATGATGAAAACTAGTTTTCACACTTCGAGGGTACTAAATACTTCGGAAAATCAATATACATTACTAAACGCTACGCGTAGTGAATTCGTAGTTTGCTACGTTATCAGTTAACGTAGCACTCGTAGGCATAAAGGAGCTACGTCGTAGCGTATTTTTGAGGAGTGTATGTTCTTTTAAAAAAACTATACTATGATCAATATTTAAATTATATTATAATATTTAAATATGACTATGATACAATATTTAAAAAGTTTTTGATAATCGACCGCTAGCCAATTCAGAAGACTTGGTAAATATGTAGACCTCACATTAAACACTTTCCTTATTCCCTTCAGGCTATCGAGATGGTGGAGGATGTCCGCGAGGCCTTCGCTGAAGCAGTAGAATCCCTGGACTGGATGGACTCCACGACGCGGCTGAAGACCCTGAACAAGCTGAAGGCCATCCGCAACTTCGTCGGGTTCCCCGCCTGGCTGCTCACACACGAACAACTCGATAAACATTATAAACACGTCAGTAATATAGCAATTTTTTATGGTATATATCGGCAAACAAGCAGACGGATTACCTGATGGCAAGCAATCAGCGCCGTCCATGGACACACCGCAACAATGGAAGAGTTACGTTGCCAATCTTTTGGCGGAATTAGGGGTGGGGAAGGGTTTGGCCTCCGATAACCTTACTAAAAACGTCGAAACACAATTCTGTTGTTTCTTCCACGCCAGTTTTCTGTGAGGACGGTATCACTCCGACCCATTGGTGCTGAAGCTTGGCTCTCCTACACTTTCTGCCATCTTTACTTAAACTTGGATATTATTCAGTTGACCAATATCACATTGCTTTCAGGCGGAGGTAGTAGAGGGCAATTTGTTCGAGACCTACCTGAAGCTAACGTTTGCTGCGGTAAAGAAGACCCTAGAGTCGCTGCGGGAGAAGCCAGACAGGAACCGATGGGTGGCCACCGCTACCACTGTTAACGCATTCTATTCAGCCACCTTGAACTCTGTCAGTGAGTATCCATCGCAAATATTTAATAGTACTTTCTAATATTAGTTACGGTGTGTCATTAAAAAGCAGTGTGTACCTATGTGATAATCCAGGATATCGCCTTCTACATAGGTACGTATTAAATTTCAAATCGGTCCAGCCGTTTTTGCGTGACAGAATAACAAACATACAAACCATATTTTTTGTGAGGGGAAATCATCAAATCACTTATCCCGCCCAGGGACGGGCGGGAAAGGGTGTCAGACTCTTACTGACTAAAAACCCCCCTGTTCCTTCTCCTGCTGTGGGCCGAGGTCGCGGTGCTTCATTGCGCTTACCCCGCAACCCCGGCTGAACATCAGCCCTATAGGGCCCCGTCTGTAGTGGTCTATTGGCTCTATGAGGCGCGCGCGGAACGCTACGCGCCGTACGCTCCGGCCTGGTTTGACCCGCGGCAGGCGCTTACGGTGGCCGGAGATCGTCCCTTGATCCCCGACGCGCGTAGTGTCGCCTGTTGCGGCGGCTGGGGCGTGAGGAGGAGGATTGTTCCCTCACGCGGGCCGCCTCCCTCTTTGCGAGCATAACTGCTTCATAGAAGGAGGAAACGGCGTTCCAGTTCCTCTGTGTATGTCGCCGTCACCGATCACTTCCCTGAGGACACGGCAGTGCTCAGCCCAAGCAGGGCATACCGCCACCAACATACATCCATACATTCTCAAAATTGCGCATCTTACTAATATTATAATTGCAAAAGAAACTTTTCCTTTTCCTATTCCGGAGTGTAACATCCTATGCCTGTGTGTGTAGGCTACTTTTTATCAACATACCTCGCGGGCGAAGCTGCGTGCGCTATGCCTGTGTGCGCTATGTCCCGTGGTGGTTTTAAGGTTGCGGTTGCAAGCTTAATAATATGCCGTGAGCCCGTTCTGAAAGAGAAGAAGGAATGCGGTGATATTTAGTCCATAGATGAGAGTCTGGCACTCCCTCTCGCCTAACTCATTATGGAACAAATAATATTATGATTTTCCTCCCTCAATAAAAACTAAAATATCTCCAACGATCTTGTCGTTCGCTGTCTGATCAAACAATGGTATTATTTCCAGCATTCCCCGCCGGTATACTGCAGCCACCCTTCTACGGAAACGGAATTGAGTGAGTACCTACGTTTTTCTAAAGTTCAGAAGTGCTTAAAGTGGTATATATGAAATAAATAATTAGATTTTGACTTTGACGAAAGATGAAGTCATCATGCACTAAATCTGAATATCCAAAGTAATGTTTTTGGTCACTTATCCCATGCTTTGTTTACGATTCAAATATAATTTGTTCCAGAGCAATTAACTACGGATCTATTGGTGCCATAATGGGACATGAGGTCACTCATGGGTTTGATGATCAAGGTAATAGAAATATTTTAATCTATTTATGTAGGTAACTATGACTGCACTGATTGGTCGTGGTGGCCCGGAGGTTAAGGAGCCCGCTTCTCATGCATGAGGGTGTGGATTCGAAACCTAGCAAGTACCAATGTGACTTTTTCGTCTGTCTAGGCATGTATAATGTATATGTACGGTCATGTCAGCGGTTAGGAGCAGTCGCTCACTAACCGCCTTATGTGTCGGTCAATATTAAATATTATTATTCGTATCTACGTACTTTCATTTATTAGCCCACAGAGTACCTAAAGTCTGATTATAAGTATGATTATTTAGACACCACTGACAAACGGTGAAGGTAAACATCGTGAGGAAACCTGGACTTATAATTTCTAATTATAAGTTTGAAATCGCTAACCCGCATTGAGCAAGCGTGGTGATTCATGCTCAAACCTTCTCCGTGTGAGAAGAGGCCTTTGCTCAGCTGTGGGCACTTATGGGCTGATGATGATGATGATGATTGAGAAGTCGGTTGCCGTGCTGCTAAGTGTCACGATCTTGATATTTATAAATGTTTGTTCCTGGTGACATGTATCTATGTGAATTTGTATATTGTACTAGCTATTCTCACGCGGTTTCACCCGCTGCTCGACTCCATTTGATCGTAGCGTGATGTTTTATAGCCTATAGCACTCAGGAACATTGTAGCTATCTATCAGTAAAAGAATTTTGGCAATCCGACCAGCGGTTCCACAGATTATACCTCCTACATACAAACTTAAACTTACCTCTTTATACTATTATAGTGTCTCCTAAGGTATTAGAATTTCGCCCAACGTCTATTTGAAAATAGAAAATGGCATAGGTACCAAAGTATGATTTGTTATCTGTCGGTTATTAAAACTCTCTCCAGTAATCATAGGTATATGCTAAATAGTTTACTTACATATATTTCTGGTGTAGGTCGTCGCTACGACGAGGAGGGCAACCTGAAGCAATGGTGGTCGGCGGCGACACTGGAGCACTACCACAGCAAGGTGCAGTGCATCATCGACCAGTACGGACGGTACCACATGCCGCAACTACCCAACTACACCGTTAGTATACACTTAACTTACCTATTACCGCTCTGTGTTGAATATTCTTAGGTACTTATAATAGGTCTTTACCTATGAAATTGCCGTTCTGCAGTAAGTACTGGCCATTTCAAATCAAAATAGTTTTTGTTAGGCTATGGCAAATTTTTTTTTAAACATGGTATTCTTTTTCCAAAAGTAGTCATTTGTTTATTGATTAGTGTTACATTTTCATCGCATTTCAAATCAAAAAAATCGTTTAAATTTTTTCATGCAAAACGGCAATTTCATAGGTGAAGACCTTTTATTTTAGGGTAACCTTGTTGGCCATTTGGATACGTGTGAAATGTGACTGTAAGAAAAATCGTTTTAGATTTTATGCCCAACTTTAATACTATTTTTTTTCAAGGTCGGCAATCGAGTGAACGGATTAATCAGCGCCGCCCATAATTGCCAGGAACATTAAAGGGGCTACGAATGCATTGTCGGCCTTTTGGGGACTAGGGTTTCGGATATTTAAGGATTAGGAAGGAGGAATATAGCGTTGTGATTATTTCACGCCGATTTTCTGTGAGGCCGTAGTATCATTCCGGTCGAGTCGACCCATTCGTGCCGAAGCTCAAGTCTACGACATTTATTATTTATCCCAGTACTATATAGCATTTGAACCATTTACTCATTAGCAGCAATACTATACCAAACAGAATGCACATATGCAGATCGCAAGTATGGCAGTACCTACTTAGATTTGGAGACACTTTTATATTGAGTAACGGTGGAACGGGGTGAACAGAATCCGAGGGGTGGATCTTATTCACCTAATTCACTCCGAATACACTCACTGGACGTAAAAGAGGGGTAAATAGATAGATACTAGAAAAAATCGCCAACATGTATTCATCGCTTTTGTGTGGGTAGGTATATTCATTCACCCCCTTTAAGGGTATTTTAGACGCAGATTATAATGATGTGTGTGTGTCAGGTGCACGGGTTCAACACGCAGGGCGAGAACATCGCGGACAACGGCGGGCTGCGCGCGGCACTGCGCGCGTACGGCCGCCTGCAGGCGCGCGCCTCCGCCGAGCGCCGCGCCGCGCTGCCCGCGCTGCCCCACTACTCGCCGCACCAACTCTTCTTCCTCGGCTTCGCACAGGTACAATATCCCCGACCTATCTTGGCGAGTCTGAACTTAGCCGATTAGCTGCACAGTACACTATTTTGTTCCTGAAACATCCATTGCGCAGACAAACGGCTAACTTCAGACTCGCCAAGATACGGCGGCCGTACAGTACACACACAATGCTGCGAGTCAATTTGATTCCCGCACGAGGGTGCGAGGAGGACGAGGACGCCTACGTGAGAGACGGGACACCAAGGCGGTTTTTAGTCAGTAAAATTCTCACAGTCACAGAAAATCCTCATAGAGCCCCTTCGTCTCCCCAAGCGATGGGGCTGTATGAGGATTTTCTGCCTTGGGGCAAGAAAAAATAATAATAAAAATAAAAAAGGTACACAGACAATATCACATCTCCAGCCTACAGCCCTACTGTTGTAGGTACTTTAATGGTAATTTTTAACAAGTTTATCTTTAAAAAAAATCTAAGCAAGAAATCTTTAGTTTCTAATAAAATCTTAATTTCCATCAGATATGGTGCGGCAACTCAACAGTAGGTGCTCTGAAATCCAAAATGGTGGAAGGCGTGCACAGTCCGAACAAGATCCGAGTGATCGGTACCCTGAGTAACTCCAAGGAGTTCGCGGAGGCCTGGAGCTGTCCCCTTGGGTCGCCGATGAACCCGGAACACAAGTGCGTGCTGTGGTGACACTGTGATTTAGCTATAGGACTACCAAAGACTTCTAGATTACCTAAAGTTACCGCCTTAGGGTTTACGTACAAGTTTTATACTGCGATGCACTCTTGATATTCAGCGATGGAACTTTGTCTAAATAAGTTAAGTAGTCATTTGTTAACGTGATCGTGCTGTGTGTCTGTGTGATTAATTTGAACTACGATATTACTGATTGACTGTAGATACTGGTAGAAAACAAAAGATACAAACTTATTTCAAATATAGAACGTTTTGTCTTCTTTATTCAACTGACTTTGTAAAGAAATAGACAAAACGTTCTATATTTTGTAGAAATAGGTTTAATGGTTTTGTTTATGACTATTATTGTAGATTATGTATTAGGGGCAAACTTTTACTCATTGAATGAGAAAGTACTGTGAAGCTGTTGACTATCAGTTAATGTTACCCATAGATTAATTATTTTTAAGATAAGTATTCTAGTTAGGTCTAAGTTATGTGTTCTAAGTTTTATGTTTTAAGGACATTAATACATTACTTAACCAAACTTAAAAAATATTTTTACTTCTTTTTAAGAAGTTAAAATGTATTTTAAGTTAAACTAATTAAAATCCAAATGATATTATTTAATTCAGTGACTATTTTGAATTCGTAACTAATATCATTATATCACTTAATAACTGGAGTGCATCTATTAACATAGTGAACAAAAATTATTTATTATGAACAAATTAAAAAGAAATCGGTATTATCATAAGGCTTTTATTTTTCATTTGAGTATATTTCCTTCAATATGACTACATAATCAGTTTTTATATGTGACAACCTATTAGGGTTGTTTATATAGGTACTTACATGATTTTTGTCTGACTCTTAACACAAATCAGACCTCATAATATACCATACTCTCTGATATTTATTTGTACAGGAGATCTCCATACATTTCCCATTTGACTCTAAAAACTTTAACAATTGATGTAGTTTTATATGTCAAAATAGGTGGCAATTTTATTTGTAAATAAATTCATAATTATTTGTTTAATAACACCAATACAACATCATTCTATAGCCATTGCTGATTGATATTGATATGTGTATTATCGCATGAAGTAAGATTACTTAGATAAAAAACAACCCAGGAAATATGATAACTTAGACATTCAAATGGGTCTCCTGACTTCCTAACAATTTACCTAGTTTAGTAAACAAAAAAACTCATTTTACTTTTTTCTCATATATTGGAACTGATATACAGGAGCTGAACTCTTAGTACCAGGCTTTAACCTCTTTGGTTTCATTATCTTGACATCCTGTAGGTGGCGTTTTAACTCCATCTTCTGCTGTATTACAGTCAACTCCTTCTCCCTCTCTATTCTCTTTGACAGCTCACTGTAAATCTTCTGTTTTTTCTTCTTCATTGATTCCAGTGCCTGAACAAAGAGATTAATATTATTAGACAGATATGATAGATTCATATTAAAATATGTATATTTTATTGTTATTCATGACATTAAAGACTTTATAGTTAAAATTTTTTGGGTTTATAACTTTTGGTTTCAAGTCGACAAATAACACTTTCACAAGGGAAATTACATTTATCTTCAAAAAGAAAAATTGAGAGAAAGAAATGAAGTCTTACCTCGTCACTAATATCAGGTAAACTTAGTTTATCCAGGTCCGACAGTCGAGGCCTGTTGGACTTTCTGCCCAATAGAGCAGGATGTGTGTCCAGTCTCTTTGCAAGGTCAAAGTCTTTCTCTTCTCCCTCTTCCACAAAGAATGTATGTGTGTTGGGAGTCACTTCTGCCACATCTGTCATGTGGAGCTGAGCCTGGGGAAAAGAAATTAGAATTAAATGAATATGCTAACTAAACAGGATCAAAAGTAAATAGATTTACATTAAAATTTTATGGAAACTCAAGTTTTTATTTTGGGTTTGAGCCTAGTCAATTCTGTTAGTATCAGTTATATTGATATCACAAGTTGTAGTTGTTTGTATGTGATACTTGTTTTCAAAAAAATAAATATTTGATATCATTATCATCTGCCCAAAGTCATCCTCCACTGACTATAGGCCTCCCCCTTACATTTGATGTTATAGAATAACTTAGTGTTACAATCATTAAAAGAAGAGTATTGTTTATTCTCATGACAATAAAAAAAACATACTTGTAGTCTGTTAATTCTACGGCTCTCAATGGTTCTCTTCATGTTGATGTACTTGAGGTCCTGTGTCTGCATCAACTTCACCTGTTCTTTGCTGTGCTCATCCTCTTTCTCAACTTCATGATGCTCCTACAAAAAGAAAACAATAATTATATACTCTACATAATGTATTGTTACTTATATTACAAAAAACAAGTAAAAATATATCTATGAATTTTACTGGTTATGTTTACAAAATAAAACTTTAAAATGCTCTTTACATGAAGGAAAGGAATACAGATTAGTATACAAGCTAAAATTTAAATGAGGAATGTACCTTTAATTGTTTACTTGCAAATAGCACGAGTGCAAAAATAACATACAATATTTACTTACCCCATCTTTAACTCGAGAATTGATCATATGAAAGTAGAACTCATCGGGATTTTTGTCAAGCGTCCTTTTCCTTAAAAGTTTAAGAGTTTCCCCTTTTTCATGGTAATCATCAGCTCGTTTCTTATAATCTTTCTTCTTCTCCAGTAAACCTAAATGTTTTCTAGATTCTGGCTGATGACGCTCTTTGTGCGTCTTCTGGTTGGCCTTAGCGGCCTTCTTCCACGAAGACATGGTTTATAAGTTGAGTTTTACTTATTTAAATTCGAAAATTTGTTTAAAATACTGTAACAACATAACCTCTCCACGTGTTCTTGACATGAACCACGAACAAATGAATCGTTAGTGTCAAACTGTCAATGTCATATGTCAAATAATAGTAAACGTGATCGGATACAAACTTTCACAATGTCTGAGAAAAAACAATGTATATAATATACATATTATATCAATGTGAACCGTAGATGTGAACGGAACCATTTTTGGGAGATTCACAAAAATATACGAAAATAAAAATAAAATTTCTGTGCCAATGGTGACTACTAATGACAAACAGTGATGGCAGTAGTTTGTGAAATAAAGATAACCAGTTTTGAGAAAACATTTATTTTATTTTAAAATAACATAAAATTTTTAAAATACAGCCAGCTAATCCTTCTTGTCTTCATAAGCCCCTTTATCAAAGGCTACCAATAGCCTAGTTATCTCATCAAAATATCTACCGTAACACAGCTGTTGTAGCATACTTCTTATTCGCATAATCGAATTCAGCAGACTTTTTTATTGCCACCGGTAGTTTTATCATAAGAAAATATATCAATTCTAATGCGGTGAACAATCCCACACCCAGGAACATGTTGAATACTCCTCCTAATGAAGCTGAAAATAAGTTGAGAACATTTTTTAGATATGTACATGAATGGTTTCAATTGCCCTGACAAGAAATTAATTAATTAATTTATAATGCTGAACTCTTTTTTTTTTGTTCTAATTGAGGGCAAGGTGAGAACGATCTTGGGCAAAGATTGGCGGAACTCAAACATTGATGAATACTATTAATTTGCAAAGCTAGCAAAGATAGGATAGCTTGCGAACGTAGTAAAACTTGTCAGGTATATAATGTAAAGACATTAAAAATGAGAATGAAAGAATATATTCAAAGTTATTCAATGCAAAAAACTGTTTTGTACAATACTTTACTTACTAGTTAAAATAATTATTTGAATACAGAGATACCTACAAAGTAAAGTGACCCATGTCTCAGTTGGGTTGAGTAGAAATACTTGTGAATGGTGCAGGTTTACTCTCAAATTCACAACAACAGATCGCGACACGTCGATTCCAGAACTGAAAACATAATATCTTATAGACATTTAACAAAGCAAATAGTCATTATAATTATGAATAGAAATACTAATTAAATACTGTATTGTGAAATTCTAGGATTCCAGGCATTTTTGCTGATCAAAGTATTTTGGTACCTACACATGTAAAACAAAAACACGCTACTCACTATAAATTATCAATAGTATTATTGATCTGGTTCATTGGACTCGATTCTAGAACCATGGTAGTGGTTATCTTTCTGCAAGGTGGGAGACAACTGCATGATATGTTTTCTGAAATAATCATGATTTATTTTAAAAATAAATTATTATCATGTTATGGATACTTACATACTTAGCGGAAGCCCAATCCTTTCCCTAACCGTCTTTCCCCAAAACCCCTTATCCCCAAAACCCCTTATCCCCAAAAGGCGCACAACACAGTTGCAACTCTTCTGGTACTTATTGCGGGTATCCTCGGGGTACAGATTGCTTACCATCAGTTTACCTTCGAATGCCATTAAAAAAATCTTGAATAAGAGTGTCCAACAGAAATCTGTTTAGTCTGCAAAATCTTCCGCTATTGTGGGACGGTCGCCTTTGCCCGACACGGTATCAGACAGCCAGCGGACGGTAATAATTTGGTACATTCTTAACTTTTCGCTGTCATGTCTAGTTATCGAACCTATACCCGGGATACAGTGGTACCTAATGAAAATAGACGTTGAAATGAACGAATTTTGTTTGTGACTATTGTAGGTACTAACCATGTTGCTTAAGGTCATAAGCTCTCAAGCAGGTCAAACGCGCGGTGCTACAAATAGGCAAGTCTTTGTCGCTGTCTGGCTGCATGTAGAGGGGATCGCGACATCCACAGGCTTTTTCGGCACATCTCCGCTGCCAAAAATTGATATGAACGTTAATAATAGAGTCACCTTGAAAAAACCAAGACTGGAATCGAATGTAATCACTGGGGCCAAAAGTACAGGCGGATGACCCAATGGTAAGCGATCAGCGGCATCCATTGGCACTTCCAAGTCCAAGGAAAGTAGTGTCGGTTCGGAAATATGACAGTTTATTCCAGTTTTAAATAATTTTTCCTCTTGCTCAGTAAGAGAAGAACTCCTTCGAAATACAAAACAATCTAACTAAACTATAGAATTAGGTTTACTTCAGTATTTAGAATACATGTGACTTTTTTGATTAGCTATTTAAAGGACCTACCATGCAAAGAGTTCTAGAATAGTCGGGGTCATGTAAACATGTGGTCTCCACTAGACTGGTCGGCTCATTAGGTATCAGTGTAAACACCAAATGTGCCATGTAGTAGTTGCTAGGGTGCAGGATATTAGGCTGTACCCAATCCTCGCCTTTGTAAAACGTCACAAACTGCAATCGAAAATAAACATTATGAAATGTGAAATTTTCGAGAATAGCTCTAGTAGTTTCAAATCACACTCGGACTTATAATCTTGAGCACAAAGTGCACGCAATGTTAAGATTTCGTTTCGGTTCGAGTTTTCTAAGTAGTAAGTATTCATAGTTTCGGCCCGGTTTGCAGGGTTAGCGAAAATAAGGAACCGCGGCCTCGGCCCAAAGAAGAAGAAGGAACTTAGGTTTGGTCAGTAAGAGTCTGACACGCTCTCTCGCCTTACCCTGGGCGAAAGAAGTCATTAGATAATTATTTTTCCCCGCACAAAAAAGGTATTAGATTAACCATTTCACATCCCCATCCGGGTCGAAGTACGAGGTGTACTGCCGAACAAAGGCTTTCAAAGATCGAGATAGGCAGGATACCGAAAATTTAAGGGATATGTTTTTATAATAACTATATCGTGAGACATACTGAATTAACTAAAAATCCGCGGCGTACTGTAGGCCTCTGCGGTTCTAAACTAGTAGAGCTTTTCTCAATTTACACACGTGAGTAACCCGCGATTTTTAATTAATTTAAGGGATACTCCTGATCAAACGTATCTTCTTATCTACATTTATGTAGATGGCAGTTTTGGGACACACCATGGTAGCTTAAATATGACATAAAGACTATTCTCACTTGGCAAATGGATGCATAGGAGCCACGCCTGCACTGCAGCACCAGTTCTAGAGACTGCATCGTGGGAGATTTTTTCACTAGCCCCCTGTTAAACTTTGGGAGCAATCTGGAATACACATATTGATATAATAGAATGACCTATAACAAAGTCGTCAATGCGAGTCTATCTAAAATAGGCTCATCAGCTTATTTCAATTAATTGAGGGCATGTTTCCTTGCACTAAAATAGGATCACTAATAAAATAAATATTGAAGCTCTCAATTAAAAACGTGAATAATAGTGATGCTGGTGTGGGATAGTAGAAAGGATCATGCGATCGTTTGCTCTCTATGGAGTCCCTGTTTGGGCGACATATTTGCAGCGGTGATCAGCTCGTGCGCTGGTTGTCATGACACTACGAATGCTCAGTGGGTATGACACGATCTCTGGGAAAGCAGTTAATTCCCTTGCCGAAATACTGGCAAGGGATATGAGCAAGAGACGGAACGGTGAGGATTTTCGACATAATCCAATTACTTACTTTTCGGGCCGCATAACACAACACACTCCCCAGTAAGTAAGCTTCTTCTCAAACAGTTGCTGGCAAGGTACCATTCTCTTCTGATACCTGCACTTGATGATCATCTCTTCATCACAATTTGGTGCATAGTTCATCATCATATGCGCTAAAGTGGTGTTGCTAATAGTCAGGAGGTTATCCAGCAATAATAGTTGATCCTTTAATGTGGATTTCCCAGCTAGAGCCCGCGCTAACGATGATGGTATCTGTTCTGTTAAGGTGGAATTGGGTGACCTTTGGAAAAAAATGAAGATAGAACATGAATGTGACAATCACTCGATGGTTTAATACTATTGAATATTAGGGTGAGCTAGTTGAATAGACGTAACAAAGCGTGTAGGAAGTAATCTCAATCAAATTGGAGCTAAAGAAAATCCTTTGGTTTTCTAAGAAAGCTTACGGGAATTAGTAGATAAAACGTATAAGTACTTATCTATTCTGCTAGTTAAATCAAAAAGTCATTACAGAATTATAAATGAAGAAGCATGTGCATGGAACTCACAGTCTATGTAGGAACATGTCAGCGACGACATGGGGCGGTAGACAGACAGCAACGGTGGGCACGCCGAAGCGCGAATAGGAGAGCGCGCGCGCGTCGTCGCAGAGCACGAGCAGCGCCGGCACCTGCAGGTAGCGCCGCCACAGCACCACGCACAGACTGCCCGCGCACCACGCGCTAGCGCAGCACCACACCACCCACACCACGCTGCAACACGCACACACTCACCACTGCTGGATCGTCTCTAAGGCATGCTAGGCATAAGTTTGTAACTCTATGCCTAGCATCTACAGCAATTATACTTAACACCCTGGACTGCAAAGCAAGCTCTGGACTCTTACCCAAGAAGCGGAATCTTCTCACTCTTCGCAATCTAAAAGTGTGGCAAGTTCTGAATATTTTTTCTACCACAAAACATAATTAAGGGTCCACAAACATCTACTTTTAAATAAACAAACCACCAACTAGGGAAGACATTCCCTTGATTCAAACCTTCATCAGTAGCACTGAACATTCAAAATAAATTAAGCGAAAAAGTCCAAATCCAAGAAAGCTAAAAAAGAGAAATAAATACTAAAATCTGCTTACCGATCAACATAATGCACGGATCTCAAGTATTTGAAACCGTGCAGTGTTGTGTTTCTGAAATACTGCTTGATCACTTTACTCACTTTGGATTGGGTCATGATGTGTGTGTGTCCTAATTTACCTACGATCAAATTAATGAGAAGGACTTTACAAGTCCACGTCAGTCAATGAAAACCAACTATAAAACAAATCATCAACTCTTTACGGCTGATAGATACCTTTACTTAAAGGTTAGATACTAGGTATTTTCTCGAAATAAGTATCTAGCAGAAAATAGCCGAAATCTTAGTTTAAAATAAATTCAATCGGATTACACGTGTCTCTCCCGCCAAAATGCATTAAAACTAACGATCAGTTAGACACGGACTGCACTAATGACGGTAGGTATTTAACAGTTCACCTTGTCACTTGGATTAATTATACCTATCAATGGCAGACAAATTAACCGTTAATTGTTGTACACGAGGGGTACAACCCTATAATTTTGCCCTTAAACATTTCGACTAAAAATGTTAAATGTTTTTTTCAGATTAATTACTTTTTGATGGTCAAGTGTAGGCTCGAGGTTATTTTGCTCAATTACTGCGTTATTTTGAAATACTTGTCCTTGACAATGTGTACCTAAGTAACCAAAATGTTGGTAGAGATGTACCTACCCAACTATGTAATCCCATCATTTTTTTGTATTTTTAAATCTCTAATTTAGCTCCATTGCTTTTGTTTAAGTGTGAGAGAGTCATGCCTTGCACGAAAGGCCTCACAGAAAAAAGGCTTGAAACTGAACTTGCGGTGTGTTGCCAAACACTGCTAATTTCAGACTCCGACGTAGATTTGTAATCTAAGAATACAGTAATAATATGCCTTAATCACCACACCACACCATCAGCCTAAAAGTGCCCACTGCTGAGCAAAGGCCTCTTCTCATATGGAGATGGTTAGAGCATTAATCACCACGCTTGCTCAATGCGGGTAGGCGATTACAAACTTATAATTAGAAATTATAAGTCCAGGTTTCCTCACGATGTTTACCTTCACCGTATGTCAGTGTTGTCTAAATAATCATAGTACCTAAGTACGTATAACTCGGAAAACGTCACATTGGTACTTGCCAGGTTTCGAACCCAACCCTCATGCATGAGAAGCGGGCTCCTTAACCTCCGGGCCACTACCTACGATACGCGATATGCCTTAATCAAATAACGACAAAACTATGGGACAGAAAATAATTATCATAATTTCTCTTTAAATACTTATAAAAAATGAAATCTACGTTTGAAAATTGCGCCCAATGTTAGAGCTCAGGTTATTACTACACGTGTTTTTCTGTCCTTCGGGAAAGGTCAAGGACATAGGTAAGTTCCACGCGATCCAACGGATAGCGATCTTAATGACCCGCTACATGTTAACGAGGTGTCTACCTTATGCAACACACACCACACCATCAAACAATGTTTGGTTGGATCACGAAGCTTTTGAACAAGAGGGGCTTGCCATAATCTCTACGCTTGCCAGGCGCATTGGATATCCAGTTTGAGACATTCTACTGTTTTGACTGATGCGATGCAGCAGGGTTTTTGTTAAATAAGTAGTTCTTTAGTCGACTTTTACGACACGGGGAATAGGAATACCTACTAGGGAGAGCAATAAATATCTGTGAAGACCACTGTAAAGAATACTGGCCCGTAACCAAAGGTTTTTTGTTAAGCTGGAATAGATAAATTTTAAAAAAAACATAAAATTGTATACATTTATTAGCATTATAGATCATAATTATAAATAGACATTAATATTTTAATGTAATTTCATTACTATGGAGGCTATCGTATTTGCACTCACTAGATGGAGCCTCCAACGAATTATGTCAAACACTTGCATTTCAAAAATGGTCTGAGACCTCAATTTTCATAAGTTGAGTACAAAAACGATAAGCTCCTTTGATTAAATAACCCTAGATTATTGACTTACATTTTTAATAAAAATGATATATACCCAGATATTCAGAATACATATAATAAAAGACATGGTCAATCGCAATTATCTTACTACATAAGTGATGCGCAATATCTTTTAAAATTACATTTTAGTCGATTTTCACATCAAGATAATTAAAATGTCTATACATTCAAAAATATGAAATTACACATTGTTAATTCCTAGATTAAAATTATTATGTCATTTTATTAAAAATAATATATAATTAAAGATTAATATAATCAAGTAAGGTTGGACGTAGTAGGCATTAGTAAGATAACAATATAATAATTTTATTTAGTCGATTCTTATTAGCTGTTACATTTTAGTAATAAAAAACAGTCACAGATGCGTCCACACTTACTTCAATGTTAATCTAAACATTTATACAGACAACATTCAAAAAGTTGAATTTTACAAATATAGACATTGATTTGAGTACTTTAATTAAAAGTATATAATCACATTAAGTATAATTTTTATGCCGAGCCTCCTTGCGCAGTAATAAATATTACACAACTATTACATTATTATGTTAAAACTACACAAAATGTAAAAATATAATTGGTGAAACAAAACATTTGTTAACAACATACTCACATTGAAGATATAACTGTAGTCAAAATAAAACAACGCACATTTATTAGTTTGGTATACTAGACATTGAACATTTAACACCTAAAATACTATAAAGTATTTATTACATTTAACTATTGTGTTAAATAATACAATAGATTTCATGACTAAACTGATAATTCATTGCAGTAGGGAATGAACATTTAAAACCGAAAGTCTGACTCACAGACATTTTGGGAAAGAAGTATACAGTGACGTCATATCGTCAACCAATAACATAAGGAGATACATGATTGCACCTGAGTGTAGAGTGTGACAGTCCCGCACGGAGCTCCCTAGTGGCGCCGGGGCGCGCTGAGCGTGATGAGGAGCAGTGCGGGGCGCGCGCCTCACGACGCGGGCGGCGCGCGCGCCGGGCACACGTCCAGCAGGCAGAACGCGGCGCGGCACACCGGGCAGCTCGCGCGCCCCGCCAGCCATCCCGCCGGCGGGCCCGACGCGCGCGCCGCCCACCAGCGCCCCATGCACGCGCAGCACCACAGCACGCTGGGGACAACACGCCACGCTATACACATATCATCATGGCCCACTGTTGAGCAAAAGCCTATTCTCACACGAAGAAGGTTTGAACAGTAATCACAACGCTTTGCTCAAGGCGGATTGGCATGCTATACACTAATTCTATTGAAACTGCCACTACTGTCATGAAGTAAATAACATTTTTTTTTCATCTATCCTCAATTACCTTTTTTTGAAAGGCTTAATCATCAAGAACTGAAGCGTCAGACTCTTACCGAATAAAGACCATCCCGTTTCGTCCCCAACTCTAGGCCAGTGGCGTACTACCGCGGCGTGGCGTGGTACCTACATCATTGCGCTTACACACGCAACCCTCCTTTGAATGATTGTATAGTCTCAATTCTCATCTCAAACTCAGATTACACCATAATCAGTTCCTTTCTGACCCTGACCATTACTGGACACAAGCCTCGATCAAACCTTCTACCAACCACGTAGTGGTCACTACCGTCATCCTACCTAGCTATAGGGCTAGGTCCAGTAATATCCACTCAAGAACACGTCTAGCCTATCATTAATTGCACTCCATTGCAAATTCAGTTCAATATTTCTTTTTTTGGTTACCTGTTTTATACTTCGATATTCATTCGATATAAAAAAATATTAGAAATGCTTACCGGCAATTGCACTGTTGGCACTGCGGTGGTCCTTCCCCAAGTTGAGGGGGCGGAGCAGCACACCTTCGGTTCAACTTCACGTCAGCTGGGTACTGCATGCAACCGATGCACAGTTCTGGCTCCTAAACAAACACAATAACAACGTTACAAGAAACACAAATTTAAAAAAGTAGTGACAGGTTTTAATTTTTATCAGAATATCCGGAGCGAAAGGTATGCAAAGTTTTACGTGAAAATATTATAAATCGGCACTACATGGCAATGGACTTTTCTTTTAGATGGGGATAGTCATCAAATGACTTCCCTCGCCTAGGGTGGGGCGGAAGGGAGTTTCATTCACACCTTTCGACATAGTAAATGATTTGGTTACTTTATTCATACTGCTGGAGTACCGAAACGTTGTAATCATGGACGACCATTTGCACAGATTATAAGTATCAAGACTTACTTGATCAATATAATACACGGGGTTTTGTTCCACATAATGTTTGAATACATTGACGAATCGTTCAATGAGTGTAGGTAGCAATGAGATGTGGTCAGGCACTCGAACTGGCTGCGACAGCCTCGGCTGCAGGTCTCGTAGTGCCACCGTCGAAATACGGAACGTGAACCGCTCCACGTCATCTCGGGTTGGTATCGCTTCTATGTTAACGTATTGAACTTCATCTTCTCCCGATGCGGTTAGATTGTGACTGTCAGTCTGTTCAAAAACAATACATAAGTAGGTAAGTATTCAAAAATACATAGTGTCTAGTAAGCATTCTGTCTGCTACACAGCTTTGCATCTACAGTTATCAAAGCTTCAACAATCTTACGAGATTCTTACAAGAATTGCTGTATCTAGTGTTAAAATAATGTTCGGAAGTTTTGGGTTTAGTAACAATTAAGCCAAATGCGACGTGAGACCTGGTTACATAATATGTAAGAATTACTTGTTTTATGTGGTTTCCTTGTGCAAATCTAAAAAACTTTTTTTTTATATTTATTATTGTAAGACTTAAACGATATGCCAAAGAGTAAAATTTTGGTACAGAACTCTATGTTAATTCAGCTCATTGACTCAGCCCAAAGCCCTTCTTATTAATAGTATGTTTATACAATGAATCTGAAGAATTTGCTTATTTGTCTGAATCTTGGTTAAACAAACTACTGGTATATGGTGGTTATGGAAAAAAGGTAAAGGCTATAAAACAAAACGCTCCAATCAAACGAATCGCGCAGAGTTCAAGAAGAAACTTGACTGTAAATAGTGGACCACTAAAAGCAACCGATAAACAAAGTGAGCACTGATTGGTTTTTCTACTCAGAGTACAACCGATCGACCTTAGTGCATACGTTGTTCATTGCCCGTAGCTATGAACTACCAGTAATACAATAACCTTATTGATCTGTACCAAGACTATAAAAACCTCGATATTAATTTTGCCTAACAACATACAACTTGATAACAGAATCGACTTCTTTAGTTTATGCAAGGAACAGCGTTAGGCTGTGTATGGCGATGTAGAAAAATGCAAATTCATTATCTAATAGATGATATTCATTTCTTATTTAACAAACCGGTTCCTTCCTAATATAATCAAATAAACAACTCGAATAACATGTTACGTTATAACAAATAAGAAGTTCGCCAAAACTGTGTGAAAAAAATTGAGGTCAGAAGTAAAAGTAGCTTAAAAATTAGGAAGTTCCAATCATCTCTGTTATTTCAACTTTCTTTAATCCGTAAGTTTAATGGACGAGTAATAATCCTACGACCCACATTCAATATAAGTGAGTACAGAAAAAAGGACAAAAGAAAAGTGAAGAGTAGGCGCTCAATTAGCGGTGTTTGCTCAATGGTCTTCTATTGGAAATGTCGTAGGTTTGATTGACGATATAGTATATTTTTGTAGTAGGGATATTTTGGTTATAGGTGCTGAGACAAACAAGAAAATTTTTGAAAAAAGAAGCAATATAAAACACCAGTAGTTAGTTAAGATACAAAGAAAACTTTTTTTTAAATTTTGAAAATGAAAAATATTGCACAGCAGAAAACAAATTATGCAATGCATTTATAAGGCATTTCTATAGAATGCTATTAAAAGTGATGTATAGAAAAGTGAAGTAAAACTCGATTTTTACTTCACTTTCTATTATATGGTTATTTTTAATTAAGGAGTTTTGATGCACATATGTGGTTCATATTTGTGAATTAAAACTACTTAATAACAAAAAATATTAAAATAAAAAAAACCACTTAATATACAAAATATGTAGCCAAAACTTTATGAAAGAGTCACAAAAACGAAAAGGACCTTGATATAAGTTATTTTATTATTAAAATACCATATCCTGTAAGTGTTTATTAAGCATAACAATGGACTTATCATACCCAATAAAAAAACATGTACAGATAGACAAGAATACCAAGACAGAAAGAATTTAATATGCAATTAAAATAATTACTAAACACATCCTTATCTCTTATCAGTCACCATTTTATTAAACTTATCAATTAATTTTATCTCTGACACATTAACAAAGTTTTGAAACGGACAACAGTATTTTAATCAGACTGAGATTTTTGTATTATTATGTGAACCCAATTACATAGATAAAATATGTAGGGTCAAGATATAGTTCCCGTGAAAAACAAATGGGCATGTTAACATTGGAACATTTGAGAGCATATAAAATGAAAGCCAGCCAAGAAAAGGATAGATGCAGTGAATGAGTTCACAGTTATTTACTCAAATGAGGTTTTTTTTACTAATAATTTTCTATTGTTTTCTTTTCTCTGTTAAATTTTTTGGCACCAAAAAATAAACATTTGTTGCAGGCAAATCCTCCACTAACACCCATTGTGTTCATGTTAACCAGTGTAGCATAAGTACACATATTTTTTACAAAATGCGCAAAGTATAAAAATATGTGCATATAATTAACATATAAAAACCATTAAAATATGTACATATAATTAAATAGTGATTTTAGTATAAAAATAAATTACTTTAAAAAGGTTTAATTAATGCAGAGATGCAGTGCCAGCAACTTGCCTGCACACAAATTTCTTTTACTTTTCTAGTTAGAAACCTGGCTGAATGTGTCACACACAAGCAAGCCAGGGTGGCTTCTGTATGTAAATATTATTAGGCAAATGAACCCACAACACAATTAAAAAAACACCTACTTGGGAATTCTAAAATACTTTTCAACAAAAATTATCTAGATAAGGTTTATATATTAAGCAATAACTTATTTTTAATTTCTACACAGATTATGAATAATAGCAACAGCAGAGTACTTACTGCAGTAGCAACCAGAGTGCAGTCCCCTTGTTTGACAACATTAAGTTTGTATGGACTTATTTTGATCAGCCAGTTCTCAGTAGCAACAAACCTACTTGTTGTATTCAGCTGTATTGACACTTTGTCTACACTGCAATAATGGGAAAAATGTTATTTTGAGTAAATTTTACGTTATTATTTATGACTGATAGGGATAACTTTATTTTTGTTAATAAGCATGATAAAAATCCATAATTAAATAAGTTTTCAAAAGATTGTGAGTGAACTTACTTTCTGAATTCAATATTGAGATTTGCTGCCACCACTCTCCAGTCAGTGCCTGGAGTCACATACGCCAAAAGAGACTTCACGACTGGGTGCTTCGCCTGCCCATTTTCCCACCAACATAACAGCCTATAGCACATTAATAAAGGGATGATGGCAGTCGCAGCTGCTGCCGCAGGCAACCACGGATTCCGCTCTCCAGAACACAACAGAGTAAAAACATAGCCCAAAGGCAACGCGGAATGAATCAAAGCCGTGATTGTTGTCCGTTTCATATGGTATCCAATAAAGTTTATATTTTCAGATCCAAGGAAACTTTCGAACAGCTGCGCTATGGTAAAGCCGGCCGACACGAACTCGGTGGGTGGATAGACGACACATATCGAAAATAGAAGATAGAATAACGACACTAACACCGTCATTTTGGATTTGTAATTTTTAAAACATTACTTAATTATTTTCAATAGATAATTTTAAAACCCCAAAACTACGTACAACTTTCGAAAATGTACGAAGACGTCAAACAGCGCAACAGCCCAAAATATTTTTGTGGATTTGACAACTTTGACATTTAGTGGTTATTGATTTTTAAACTTTGGGGGAACTTAGGGCTGCCCATAGAATAATGATGGTTCTTTAAAAACCAATATAGAATGTACAACAGATATAAAATAATTTGTGGACTTGAAATTTTTATCAAAAATATAATTCTAATGCTGGGCTATAGAATAAAATTTAACATTTACTGAAACAAACGAAAAGCTAAAAAAATACTTCTTAAAAATAGTTAATTACAATTACAACACTTTTAATGTCACGTTGACATTTGACGTTGTGGATGTGGACACGTATTATTTCAGTATTTGATTGTAAATTAATTTAATTTCCTATGATATTATAGATTTCTTGGAGTGTTAAAAACTTAAAGTGATATACAACTACTTCTGGACCCAATACCGTATTTTAAATTAAATTCACGTAAGTAAATACATTATGACATGGGTATGATGAATCGACCGGACGCTACCGAGCTAACTATTTCAGCTATTTCATGGTTAAAAAGGAATATTATAACAAATATATTAACATAATACAATGAGGAATATGTGACAAAATTCCACTTGCTTATTAATTAGTAAAACCATAGAACTGGACAACAGATAAAATTGTGAACATGAACGAAACATAAGTCTTCCAAACAAATTCTTCTTCTTCTTCTTCTTCTATGAGCAAATCATAGTATTGGATTCAATTTTAACCCATTCTTTATTGATGAATTGCTTGTAGTTAGCCAAATAAGTAGTTTTTTTGTACCTACTAGTCATAAGTCATATTCTAATAGGGCTCCTATAGTAATTTATGATGTTATTTCAGCATGGCAGGCGTGGAACAGCCATGTTATACTCTGATCAACTTCCCGACAGATTCAGAGCCTTACAATGAGATGCAGCTCAAGCTGGATCTTGGTAAGTAGCAATTCATATCTCTCAGTATAGAATTATTTCCAGACAAATATACTCTAGAGAGACTGTTTATCAGACTGTACTGCACTACATACTTTTATCAAAATGAAACAAATGATTTTATAATGTTCTAATATCAAATGTTACATTTATTTCCTAAAATTAGTAAAAAAAACCTATGTAAAATTAAGTTTATTATCAAATCAATGAATAAAAGTATGTTTTTAATAACTTATTGTATTGATAGGTCTAAATAAATATTTTTTGATCTAAGGAACAACCCAAGCTAGTTACTTTGTTTGCTTAAATAAATATTATTTTGCTTTGAGTAGCACTACTACTTAGTTTTATCATTATTAAATGGTCCTTATTATGGTGATCTTATAGGAAAAAATGTTATAATAGTATTACCAGTCTAGTTACAATAATGTTCTATTCTATTGATTAACAAGTTTCAATTATTTTAAACAGAGAAAGGTGACACAAAGAAGAAAATAGAAGCATTAAAGAAGGTAATAGGCATCATACTCTCTGGGGAGAAGATTCCTGGTTTACTGATGATAATTATCAGGTTTGTGCTGCCCCTGCAAGACCATACTATCAAGAAGTTGTTGTTGATCTTCTGGGAAATTGTGCCAAAGACTACTCCTGATGGTAAACTGATGCAGGAGATGATCCTTGTCTGTGATGCCTACAGAAAGGTAAGTCACTATTAATTTTGTCTAAAAAGTTTAGGACTAACACTGATCTTCATAAAACATATTTTTTCTAGTAATAACAATAAAACATATTTAAATATTTATTTAAAACATGTAAACATATTTAAATAAAATGTTGTTCACCACTAAACGTTTCATTCAGATAAAGCCAGCATGTTAGAGTGTTTTCTCAATTTCATTAAAAACATTTTTTATTTAAAAACAAAACACCCTATGCTCAGTCACATTTTACATATAAAATCATGGAATGTTGTGTATTAACTTATATGATGGAAGACCACTATACATTTGTTCCTTACTGTTCAGGATCTACAACACCCCAATGAGTTCATCAGGGGATCCACTCTCCGTTTCCTCTGCAAGCTGAAAGAGCCTGAGCTCTTGGAGCCTCTGATGCCTGCAATCAGAGCTTGCCTTGACCACCGCCACTCATATGTTAGGAGGAATGCTGTGCTTGCCATATTTACTATCTACAGGTATAGAAAAATTTAAATAAATATCACATGTTAAATAGAAAAAAGGACTAACTCAAAAATGAAGATATTCCAAAATTGAACCTTATTATTGAAGCATAATTTTTAAGATTGAAATACTTTATTTTTTGAGTTAGGCCTCTTTTCTATTTAGCAAACATTTTATATTGAAATTTTTAATGATATGTTAATATGTGTTTACTGTTAAATTCTTTTCCTGTCCCCTGTCAACTAAATTTAATTTGGTATGGTACAAATTTTGAATATTGTGTATTATTTTGCCAGGAACTTTGAATTTCTGATTCCTGATGCCCCAGAGCTAGTGGCAAACTTCTTGGAGACAGAACAAGATATGTCCTGCAAAAGAAATGCATTCCTCATGCTGCTGCATGCTGATCAGGAGCGTGCATTATCATATCTCTCATCCAGGCTAGATAACGTACAGGGCTTTGGAGATATCCTTCAATTGGTTATTGTTGAGCTGATTTACAAGGTAAGTTTATTATTGTTGATGGTTTAAGTGTTGAAATAGAAGCTGTGCGTTTTTTAAACAGCCATGTTTTTTTTTTTTTCAATATTATGACCAGTATTATTGTCTAATTGGTTTAGGTGGTTTACTAAAGGTAAAGAATCTTTGTATGTCTTTTTATCTAAATAAAAGAGGTTGTATAAAATATATACAAAGATTATTTAAATTAAGTTTATTAGCTAACATCAATTTAGGTGAATATTTGATTGTAAACATTCTGATAATTTAATTTTAGACAATTTTTAGATAAAAAGACATGTTAAGATACCTTACACCGATAGATTATAGGTATAATTTACTTTCTATTTTTTAGGTATGTCACGCGAATCCGTCAGAGAGGTCGCGTTTTATCCGTACAGTGTATGGACTACTGAATGCGACCAGTGCCGCCGTGCGGTATGAGGCTGCCGGCACCCTTGTTACACTGTCTAATGCTCCAGCTGCTATCAAGGTAAGGGATGGTTTATTACATTCAGATTGTATTTATTGTGAATGTTTTAATAGTATAGTGTATAAACTGGCGCTCGGTTATGTAGTGTGTGTATTATACTACAGAAGAGTGATCATATTTAGAAATAATTTTTAGCTAGCTTTAGTTTACAGTACTGACAATGTTTGCCACAAACTTTGAATAGATATTCAGTGTATAGTTGTTATAAGTGGTGATACATGATGCAGGCGGCAGCGGCGTGCTACATCGACCTGATCGTGAAGGAGAGCGACAACAACGTGAAGCTGATCGTGGTGGGGCGGCTGGGCGCGCTGCGCGCGGAGGCGGGCGAGGCGGCGGCGCGCGCGCTGCCCGAGCTGGCCATGGACGTGCTGCGCGTGCTGGCGGCGTCGGACCTGGACGTGCGGCGCCACACGCTGGCGCTGGCGCTGGACCTGGCGGCGCCGCGCCACGCCGACGACCTGGTGCAGCTGCTGCGCAAGGAGGCCGCGCGCGCCTCCAGCGCCGACCACGACGACGCCGCCAAGTACCGCCAGCTGCTCGTCCGCGCGCTGCATCGCGCCGCGCTCAAGGTTACACAACCACTAACTTACACTTCTTACTTATATATAGGGAAAAATATCGAAAAAAAATCTCCACTGAACCTAATCTTCAGCTTTTCGTGTCAAACCCGCGAATATCGTTATTTAATCTAACCGAAGACCGGGATGGCAACATGAAATGTGTTCGTATGTTTGTTTAAAGCTTAGGAACACAATATCACAAATTTTAAATGTTCTACGCTAAATATAATGTTATATAAAACAGATCTATTACTATATGATACCTTCCTGATAGGATACCTTTTCTTACCTTCTCGTACCGTCTTTTACCTTTTGGTAAATTATCGGAAACTTCATACAGAAGCCTTATAGTTATTGTTTGCTTGCAGTTCCCCGAAGTAGCGGGCAGTGTAGCCCCAGCCCTGCTGGAGTTACTGGGCGACGGCAGCGAGCCAGCCGCGCAGGATGTCATGCTGTTCCTGCGCTCCGCTTTGCATACTTTCGTAGACCTACGCGACCACATCTATCAGGTACAGACATTTAATTATTTTTTGTAAAATAGCTACTAGATCAACCAAATGTGTTTTATTACATTTTCAACTTAATTATTTAGGTACAAAGCTGAAAACCCAATGTAAAGTAATTTTCTACACATTCATAGTTTTTTTAATGCGACAGCGAGGGAATAGACGGATGACCTGATGGCTAGAAACTTAATTCTGTACATTTATATCCAGCAACACCACAAAAGTTTTAAGTTTGTTGTGTTCCTCTTGGGTTGAGTTTGGTGGGATGGGTATGGGTCTTTGGTAACCTGAGTCGCATAGCCAAACAAAGCATTTATTATTTAAAACTGATCCTTTAAGAGGTTACTGGGTCTTCCACATATGAATATATTATGTTAACAGAAACTACTGGAGGCAGTGCCCGGTATCCGTGTGGGTAAGATAGCGCGCTCCGCGTTATGGTTACTGGCACAGTTCGCGGAGACACCGGAACGCGCCCAGGATGCTTTGGATGTACTCGCCAACGTCATACCGCCCCTTAAAGGACAAGACGAAAAGGTAAACAAAAAGTCTTAAGTCAAAATCTAAAGTAAAGCTCTAAAGTCAAAGTTTAAAGTCAAAGTCTAAAGTCAAAATATAAAGTCGAGGTATAAAGTCAAAGTATAAAGTCAAAGTCTAAAATCGAAGTGTAAAGTCAAATAAAGTATTTAAAAAATCTTTTATAGGAAGAATCCGAGACTGCGGCAGCTAAGGCTCAAGACACTTCAGCTCCACGACAGCTTGTCACCAGCGATGGAACGTATGCTTCTCAATCTGCTTTCAACTTGCCAGTGTAAGTCTGAATAATATTTCTTTTTGTTTATTATTTAAATTAAAAGCCAAATTATTTATTTCAAACAGACCACTACTGTAGGCATTCTGAAATGTCAAACAAAAACATATATCAAAAAGTTCAATTTTGTTTGTGTTAGTCTGTCCAATTATCCTATAGCGAAGTTATTTGCTTGTTCTAACGTATAGATTTCTATGAAGAAGAACGATATGGTTACTTTTACCATATTTTAAAAAAGTATCATTAAATTACCTAACATTACGGCAATCACCGTATCAATATCACTAAAGGGGAAGGCGCAAGAAGGTGAATATAGACGGAAATAATGTGCGACCGAGAAGTGAATAGATGCGCCGCCATTTCTAATCCCATTGTTTATCGGCCCGGGTTATACTATAACCGTTCGTGGTACAGTACGCAGGCGGCCCCCACGCACGCGGGGCTGTGGTCCGCGCTGGTGGAGGGCGAGAGCTTCACGGCGGCGTGCGCGTGCTCGGCGCTGTGCAAGCTGGCGCTGAAGGTCCCCCCGGCCGGAGCCGCGCGCGCCATGCTGCTGGCCGCGCGCCTCGCCGCCACGCACAAGCTGGCCGCCTCGCTCACCGCCGACGACGCCGAGCACGTCGCGCGCTGTCTGCTCGCCGCCAGGCACCGCCCCGCAGTAGTACAGGACGCCTTGCTGCACCGCTCCGGCACCGCGCTGTCCGCCTTGCTAGCGCTACCTGATAGAGCTACTAATCTACTCGATGATGCTGATAAGGTACGTGCTCGATAGTCTAATGTTTATAATGAGGATTATGACTATTTGAATTCAATACTGGTTTTGTAATGTCAAAATTTTAAAGAATCTGTGATTTTTTTCTTGAGTCTTAATGTTGTGATGTCTTGTTACTTATGTGTAGTATATGTCTTTCCTGAAATATCTGAATTATGACGTTATAAATGTTGACATCGTAAAAATGTGATCAGATTTAAATATTTTATTACACTAAAGAACTCAAATAATTTATTTTTTACTAAATCCAATATCGATATGCATTCATCTTTTGAACATCGGAAATGTTAGAAAAAATATTTTTCAAAGTAAAAAGTTTATTATACCTATATAGTATAGTAAATTCCATATTAACAACTATATGTATAGTATTCGTTTGTCTAAATAATCTACAACATGGTAATCTAATCTAAAGTTATAGTCTAAAGCTAAAGTCTAAAGTCAAAGTCAAAGTTTAAAGTCAACGTCAAAATGTTCAGCTAAATGGTATACAAATTGATATGATGATCGATAAAATAAAATAAAATATTCTGAAAAATATATGCCGTTATACATTCTCATATTAATCGTTGTATCTTTGTGCACAAATAATGTACAATACCGCCGACGTATCTTGGCGAGTCTGAAGTTAGCCGATTAGCTGCGCAGTACACAATTTTGTTCCTAAAGGATCCATTGCTCAGACAAACGGCTAACTTCAGACTCGCCAAGATACGGCAGTCGTACTGTATGCTACATTATTTTATGACCAAAGAGAGTAGTATATATCTCACCCTGCAACCATGTTTTCCGTCCCCAGGAGCGTGAGCCGAAGAAGCAAGACAACAGGGTGGAGGTGGAGCAAGGCATCGTGTTCGCCCAGCTGGCCGGGAACTCCGCCGCCTCCACGCACCACGACATGTTCGAACTCTCACTCAACAAGGCTCTGCAGGGTATGTACTAACTTCTGTGATACTAGTAGCATAATTATACACATTATCAGCCACTACGACAAGTCCTAAATATTTTTTATTTTTTTTTTATAAAACGTTGCCCTACGCCATTATTACTCCTGTGTCGTGGGTGTGGTAACAAACAAACAATTTCACATACACATCACACCCACACCCGGAACAACAATTTGTGGATCACACAAAGAGTTGTTCCGTGCGGGAATCGAACCCGCGACACGTTGCACGGTAGCCAGTTGCCCAGCATCCGCACCAACCGTAAAGTCACATTCTATTATGTAATAAATATCATATTCTATTATGTATTTGTATTCATATTACAAAAATTTTCATATAAAGTACTAATAACAAAGTTTTCATCTTATCTGGGCCCGGAACTGGAGAACCACCCCCGGTCCTCAGTTAATCACAGCATTACATTCTTGCCCCACACAGGGCGACAGAAATTAGATGGTGATTTTCCACCCACAAAAAAATATTAATACTGGCTTTATATCATTCACAATTAAGTCGATTTTTATATGTCTTTGTAGGTGACGATTATTGTCTGTCCATTGTCCAGCACCTAAAGCAATTTTATAAAATTCCATATTTTGCTACAATCCGAATTATTACAATACGGTAGTCGGTAGTTTCCATCTAGTCAATTTCAATACTTTTATCCAAAAAAAGAATAAAATACTGAGTTACTTATTTCTTAAAAATTAGCTAAAAAATATCTCAAACTTAGTGTATATATAAAGTATAATTATTTTTCAATATTTTATTGTATTGAAACGTCGAATTAATTTATTTTTGACCCAGGAAACTACCCAATTATGTGAACATCATAAGGTTCAAAAATTAACTTTGCACTTTCAATAACAGAGTCGATATTCGTGTGTTACCAGGTCGCAGTACAGGTGTGAGCGAGGAGCGAGGCAAGTTATGGAAGGTGACGCAGCTGACGGGTTTCTCAGACCCAGTGTACGCAGAAGCCATCGTCGCAGTCAACCAGTACGACATCGTACTCGACGTACTCGTCGTCAACCAGACCGGTAATGCGTCGTCTGATATTTCCTCCTTTATTGCAATGTTATAGAGTTGAAAATGTTTTACAGCTTAGACTTATTTAGACTAAGCCTTATTGAGCCATTAAAATTGTATTTTTTGTAATGAGACGGTAAATGAGCAGACCCATTATGATACCTGATGGCAAGCAATTGGCGTCGACTATAGACACCTGTAAGACCAAAGGAATTACGAGGGCGTTGCCGGCGTTTGGGCCTCCGGTATCCTCACTCACATGGCGAAACACAACGCTGTGGTTGGTTCACGCCTGTTATCTATGAGGCCGTGATGTGGCCTTGAGCTAGGCTCTTCCACACGTAAGACCAAAACTAACGGAGTACGGCGTGTGGCAGACGACACGCTGCAGAACTGCTGCGTGGAGCTGGCGACGCTGGGCGACCTGCGCCTGGTGGAGCGCCCCGCCGCCGTCGTGCTGGCGCCCCGGGACTACGCCACCATCAAGGCGCATGTCAAGGTCGCCTCCACAGAGAACGGGATCATCTTCGGCAACATTGGTATGGAATCTCTAATGTTTATATACTTTGTCAGTACAATGCTACACACTGATGTTAAAATGCAAATAAAACTTAACGGACACATGTACAACATATTAATAGTAATATTGTTTACTTTGTGTTCAATTTTTATCTCATTAGAATATTATATTGTTTAAATCAGGAGAGCAATCCAAAGTCCTCAATATGCTATTCTAAACCAGTAAGAGTTATAGTTTTTTTAGCAGATGATTAAACTGGTGGTAAACAGCAGGTTTGTCCTAATATACAACATCAGATGATTTTGGGGTTAGAGATTTGAAGATTATGGAACGGGGATGAAAGCAGGAGGGTCGGGGAGAATTGAGTATCCACCTCTCCGGTAACATCATTCTCACAGCAAAACTACGCTGTGGTTGCGTTTTTTTGGTGCGAATTTTCTTTGAGGCCGTGTTACCTATCCGGTTGAGCTGACGTATTCGTGCCGAAGCATAGGTCTCCCATTAAAGAACAATATTCGCGTACAGTATACGAGGTGTCGGGCGCGTCGATGGACCGCGGCGTGGTCGTGCTGAACGACATCCACATCGACATCGTGGACTACATCCAGCCCGCCGTCTGCACCGACGCCGACTTCCGACAGATGTGGGCAGAGTTCGAGTGGGAGAATAAGGCATGTTACAATATTACGAATACATATATTTTAAAATTATTCTATAATGAAGGAAAAATTTGCAGTAAGGTGTAAAATGTGTTGAAAAAAGGGTGTCAATGAGTGAGAAATTTTAAGAGCATTTACGGCTGGTTTCAATAAAGATTTGAACCTAACCTAACTTGTTGTTACAATAAACTATGTGCTTTTGAAATTGCTTATCAGTTTGTTTCTTTTGCGATATGGCGGCAAACAAGCAGACGGGTCTGATGGTAAGCAATTAGCGCCGACTATGCCCTCAACACTACAGTAGTCGCAAGTGTATTGCCAGCCTTTTGAGGAGAAACGGCGAAACAGAACGCAAGCTTTGTTACACGCCAGGTTTCTTGAGGCCGTTGTACCACTCCGGTCGAGCCGGGCCAATCGTGCCCACACTTTAGTCGGTTGTTGAGAGAGTGGATAAAATAAGAATGTATTTTATGTTTCCCACAGGTGTCCGTGAACACGAATATTACGGACCTGCGCGAGTACTTACAACACTTACTAGCTTCCACAAATATGAAGTGTTTGACTCCTGAAAAGGTAACCTTACATTTCCTTTTATGTTATGTTCAGATATTTTTTTAATTTTTTCTTCAATGGCGATGTTTTCTTTACGTTATTCTGAAATTACAAAAACACCTGCCACTGGCTGACCATAAAAAATAAATTGAATCGAGACCAAGTCAAATTAGCATTTTGAGGTTATAACCAAAACATAGTTGAAGATATGTTATCTGTGTATTTTATTGATTATATTGCAGATACACCATTTTCAACCTTCCTTACTTCCTTGAAATAAAGTTGAAAATTGTATGAATAATTGAACAGCTGTAAGAGTCATTTTACCAAAACGAACAGTCATGACAGTAAATAATATTTCCAGGCGTTATCGGGTCAGTGTGGGTTCATGGCAGCGAATCTGTACGCGCGCTCCATATTCGGGGAGGACGCGCTCGCCAACCTCAGCATTGAGACTCCGCTACACAAACCCAACTCTCCCGTCGTTGGACATGTTAGGATTAGGGCTAAGAGCCAGGTATGTCTAGTTTTAGTGTCTTTTAATTTAAATGTATGTATTACAATAAAAACATTGTTAAATATTAAATTCTATAGCGCTATTGCGCTCATTCATGCGCAAAAAAATTGCTAACATTATCGCATGTTATATTTTTTCTCGACTTGAATTGAGAGCAAATAAATTGATGATGAACTTTTGTTTCACCACATTCTACCACATCACTGTATTTTTTTCAAAAGACGTTGAGCTAGTATTGTAGATAAGCAGCTGATGAAGTACTCATTATAAAAATTCGTCTCCAGGGTATGGCGCTGTCGCTAGGCGACAAGATCAACATGATGCACAAGACCCCGCAACAGAAGACACCTTCGAACCCCATACCCGCCGCGTAAGAACATCATATAACATTACCATACCTATGTACAGACTACCTAACAACTACACCGTCTGACACCATGCGCGAAATTAGGCCTTGTGTTTTTAATATAGTTGATCAAAATTGGACTTTACGTCCCGGGCTTAAAATATAACTTTTCGTGTGTGCTTGTATTCTATAAATAAATAAATTGCATTTATGTTACTTACTGAAGCTTTTGTGTTTTATGTAGGCGAGGCTCGGCAAACGCCGGGGTTAGTAACGCCAGGCAGAAGAGGAAGACTTAAACATTAGAACTGTAATTTAACTTATGTTTGAATTAATCCCTTTCTATCCCTCCATTTAGCGCAACACTATTTTTGATACGTGTATTTATCACGGGTGAACGACGCCATTTCCTAAATTAATTACTAAACGTTTTAAGTATTTTTTTATATTTCTCATTGAATTCTTAGTTTTTTTTTGGTCTATCGAATATTACTCTTTGTGTAACTGTACCTTTAGACTTGTTCTATGTCGTTGACTAATTAATTTCACTTATAAAGTAAGCGTGTTTAACGATAATCGAACAAGTTTAGAGGGAACATTAGGTAGAGTGTTTTTTTTTATTTATTAGTTCTATGTATAATTCATTAGTGTTTTTCACGTAATCAAATTGCCAGGTATAGTTGATAGTAAGTGTCAAGATTGTGTAGTTGTTAGTCAGTCTAATTGTAATGCTATTTAGTTGTAACGAACATTTACTATTATAGATTTATTGTATTGAATATATCATTTAATAATTATTATATATTTTATTTTATTTTCTTTGATTCTAAACCTGTTTTCTTATTAATTTTATAAGTAGTGCTATATATACTGAGCATCGTCAGTTACACAAAACTGATATAGAATTTCGACCTAAATGTATAGTAATATAGTTGAAAATCTATTTAAAACTATTATCAGTTTAGGTAACTCGATGTGCCCCTGTCTGTATTCATGGTAAAATTTATGTATTTGTAGTCGTAAACATCTAGAACATTCTATTCAAGTTCCAGAATGTTCCTTTTGGTATCAATCGTTGAAAGAAAAGTAGGCATAACAGTAATCATAGTATATTTTCCATAGTTTTACTAGAAAAGCTTGGTTTATCCGTTACAAACATAAACATAGGTTGGAATACACTTAAACAAAAAGGTAAGAATAAAAAAACTCGACAGCCTTATGAAATAAATTAGTTTATTGTTACGTCATAGGTGTTGACGACGTTGTAAGTGCAAAAAATGTCCATGTTCCGTAACGAATGATTCAACAGTATAAATAATAAAAATAATTTATAATAGTAATAAGTTAATGGATTGGTTACAAAACAGTACAGTCCGACCCGTGAGTGTCGGCGGTCTAGCTTCCCTGATCAATTCTGCTGCGTGCGTCTGGAACAAATATAACACGTATTAGTTACTCATTAGGTCATATTTTGCCTTGGAGTTTTAAGAAGTTGTTTTACTGGCCTGGAACTAAGGGAACAGATACTAGATTTTGGTTTGGACTAGTTTTAAACATAATACGTATATCTAGTATGTTTTGTAGTTCATTAGTGGTAAGGAAATACTTTTGCGTTTAACTATGCTGTTCATTAAGTACATACTTAAATACTCAGAACTGCACTATTTTATGGTTGTACGAATCGACTACTTGGTTGGCACTCCAAAATAATATTCGGTAGCTTTCAGTAAATATAACAGAATCCTAACAGTAATGTCAAAACTTCTGAAGTGTTTTGAAGAGAGAACTAGTAATTATCTCTCTCTATTTTCAAATATCTACTTATAAGCTTTGGTAGGACACTCACTTATTCCTCTTCCTCTTCTTCTTCTTCCTCCTCCTCTTCCTCCTCCTCCTCCTCTTCCTCTTCCTCCTCCTCTACGACTTCCTCCTCCTCTTCGGGTTCAGGCTCGAACTGAGGCTCCTCGTCCTCTTCAACTTCGGCCTTAACGTCCTCCTCGCCTTCGGGGGAGTCGAGGTCGCCCTTCTTCTTGCCGGGCCTCTCGCCGAACCACTTGGGCAGCCTCGCTGTGTGTCACATATTCATATTAAACTTACATCTATAGTAGGTAAATATATATAGAATCTAAATACTAAGTTCATTCATCAATCGAACTCCTTCACTCATTTTGGGTTGCGACCGTCTTTTTGTTTAGCCTTTACTATATGAGTGTTCCCAAATTTGTCTAATGACACTTTGCATTATTTCTATAAGTACTGATAGGTTGTTTCCCCTCCAGAATTATTTAAAAAAAAATTGGTGATATTCATTTTTAAAACCATCAACCACCTGGTTGAATAACACTTGATACACAATGATAAATGCAAGGTTTCATAGCAATATAGTGAGAATTTGTAATCATCTCTTATATAGCTATCGTATATATCTTTAATATAAATATAAATGAGTAATATATCTATGTATGCAACTAAACATTCGGTTCTCAATTCAATAAACAAACGATTATTTACACAGAGGGATAAACATGCACCAAGATTCCGTCAAGTGCACAAAAATGGGTACGTAGTGGGTATATTTTGGTGACACAGTGGCAAGAATCTAAACAAGAATTTGGATTTTTTATTGCTTACACGAAGATAATACTGCTAGTCGTGGAGAAATAGTACTTACTCTTCTGCCTGCCACCGAACTGGTTGGCCCTCTCTTGCCACACCTTCTCGAGGAAGTCCTTGTTCAGTTTTTCAAGGTCCTAAAGGAATCGTTAACACAGGGTAAATACAATGACAATGGTACAATAGGAGCACACGACCGGGACTCGAACAAGGAGAGTATATTATGTAACTTCAGAAATATACAAGTGAGTGAAAGTTTACTACAGATATTACTCTGTAAATGTGTCATTAATTAATTGTTGTCGGCGTTTTCTGTAGTAAACATCACTCGTGTATATTTCCTCAGCAGAGACAGGTAGTTGTGGATCACAAATGGAGCGTAACATGCCGTGAAGACATGCGTCGTGGGGTAACATTGGGGACACAACCGCCACACGTGGCGTTCTCCTCTTACTTTTGGTGCGGTTCATAAACTCTTCCATCTTCTCGTTCCACATTTTATCCATAAACTCAGCCAATTGAGTATCCAAACCCTGCGTTTAAATGTCATCATCATTATCAGGTTCCATAGTCGGACAAGTATCATGCATTTGTGTGCGTACACTATCTTTTCCCTATTATGTTAACACATTATTTTCTTTTCTTACGTGAACTATTTGCAGTAGCCAGATGTCTCCCGAAGACATGTCTCGTAATTAAAATGGTTACTTCATAACGATAAATTAAATAGATGTGAAAGTGACCTGAATCGAGTGCTTGGCAAAACTCCAACTTAAGTGGGACAGAACATAATAGTACCTATTTCAAACGTTTTCAGGAAATTAATTTGAATTTAATTTCCAGGCAACGCACAGTTTGGAATACTTTGGCTGTAGAATGTAGGCGTATGTTCCAGAAGTAGCGTGGCAATACTTACACCCTCGAACAACTTCTTTTTGTCGTCGTAAGACCTTGTGTCGACACGTCGCTCGTACTTGGACGCTACTTGGATTTTGGGCTGAAAATTAAAAATAGTTTAAGTTTATAAAGCCTTCCCACATTACCAATATTGTGTATTTAATAATAGATTATATGCTTACCGGGTGCTTGCCTGTGAGTGCCTCAGGGTCGAGACCCTTTTTGAGGGCCTTGTGTCTCAACTGTTGTTTCTGTCTTTCTTTGAGCTCTTTTAACTGTTGACAAAAAATTTTTACTTAGTATTAATCTTGATTTAGAATGCTATATCTATTTAATGTATAGTTTTCCAACTTACGTCATAGTCCTGCCTCTTTTGCCTCTCCTCGAGATCGTATTTCTCGGTCTCGAGTTTGATGATGCACTCCCAGAGTTCTGTGGCCTTCTGTCTGAGCTTGTCGACGGAAAGGTTCTCGATGTTCAAGGGCTTGATGCGGATGGATAGCGAGATCTTCTTCTCCTCTTCAAGCTGCTCCTTGGTCTTGTTGCGTTCCAATTGAGCGTTGCTAAGGCCGAACTGTAAGCACACCACCGCTAAGTTTAATTTCGTTGGATGATTCAAATCAACTCCGGTTTTCCCGACAACTGCTCAAATTACACTGTGTTTTATTTACACAAGATGCGGTGAAATAAACAGTTTGTGCATTAAGACAATTTGTTTATGTTCTCGGAACACTTGAATTATTTATTTATTTATTCGTAAACTGTGCGAACATTAATGAAATGCGAATTTTACTTACGTTATCGCTCTTCTTTTGGATGGTGAAGTTGGGTCCGGTCTTGTTGGATTCTTTCATGGCCTGGAGCATAGCCTGGCGCTTCTTCTCGGCCTCCTCGAGTCGCTGCCTCTTCTCTTCGATGTCGCGTTGTTTCTTTTCTTCAACTTCGCGAACTCTCCTTTCTTCCTCCTCCTTCTTCTTCTGAGCGAGGCGCTTCTCTTCTTCAGCGCGAGAAACCTATAATAATTAGAAAACGTTAAATGTACCAATCATGTTTTAATTTTGTGCCATTCATCACAAAATAGTTAGGTTTTGTTGCAAGTATACCTTGCGCTTGGCCTGCTTCTCCTTGAGGCGTTTGAGCTCATCTTCCTCCTTAGCCCGCTGTTTGCGCCATTCGTTGATGTATTCCTTCAACTGCTCATCCAAGTCCGACCGCTTCTGGTCTTGACGCTGTTTACAAAAAAAGTTACGTGATTAATCATTGCTATACCACCTAGTGACAATGTAATAAGGATCTGGGTAGATTGTAATTACCTTGATGAATTCTGGGTCTCCCTCACCCCTGTAAGCACAGATGATCCATATTAGTCATATCGCCATGAAATAAGTTTGTGTTAATGTTAGAAACCGTTGTCACGGTCACAATACATATAATTTCTGTTACGGTGATTTGAGTTTTACGGTAACTCGTTATAGTTAAATTTCCGCTGTTACGCTTTTACATCGGCGTGTAAGCAGGGACGTCAGGTACTGTACATATTGTTAAGTTTTAGCTTTATACTGTGTACTGAACAACTACGTGACAAAATTATTCATTTGTTAACATATTATTGTTACACGATTCGTAATCCTTCTTTTTTGGGAGTCATCATTGACTCCATGTAAATTGTATTTAATTCATAGTTGTGTAGTTTTGTGTTTGTAAATGACAGGTATTATTGTTTGTTGTGGGTTTATGACAACATTTATAATTACCATGGCGCATGGCGGTGGTAGACGGACAAGTACACATATTACGACACGATTACATTATTTACTACAAGGTAGTCATGCACCGATGTCTTGTTATTTCTTTCATGCAATAAATCAAAAATAAGTCAGGGCAACTCGAGCAGTTGCCCGTTGACCGACATTTTGTTTGTTTGCAGAATGGCGC